GCGGCGACCCGGACTTCCCACGGCCTGGGGCGGGGCGGGGGGGTCGTCATGTTGGCCTTGCTCAGTTTAAATAACTCAAATTCTCCGAATTCGCAGGGTAATCCGCTCCCCTGGAGCGGAGCCGGGTAAAGTCAGGCTGACAACACCCAGGCTGCACATGTAAATATTTGCGCTCCTTTCAGCCAGTCGGTCTGGCGAGTAAGAGCCTCTTGGTGGGTCTTAACGGAAAACAGGAAAACATCCCCGATTTCCCACCAGCCTTCTACTTCCTCACCGCATCTCCGCTCCCCGGCTGCTGAAATGAGCCCGTGGGGACGCGGAAAGTCAAAGCCAGAGAGCGTTTGGGAAAGTGAACCGACGCCACCGGGAGAGGCGCGGCTTCGGCCCGGCCTGTCATCGCGCATCAGTCGTTTCTAAGCAGGTGCTGCGCGGAGGTGACGGGCCACGTTTTCCGCAGTCAGCCCCCGCGGACAGTGTGCCTGCGACATGTTCGGGGTGTTCGTCCAAACCCCGGCTTCTGTGTGGAAGGGGCTCCGCCGTCCTCTCTCTTGTCTTTGGAGAGAGAACGCCCGGGTCTGGCGCGGCGGAGGGCGGGTCGCCGGCGCAGTCGGCCCAGCGGCTAAGGGCTCAGTGGAGCCCGGACCCGCACTCCAGGCCGCGGTCCTGGGTCCTGCTCCCCGCGCCGCTGCCGCCGCTCTGGGCTGTTCCTGCGAGGCCGGCAGTGGGGCCAGCGCAGGCTGAGAGCAGGCGGCTTTCCGACGAAACCGCCCTCAGAACGAGAGAGACTAAGCCAACCGGGCGCCCAACGAACGACCAGTTTCCATTCTTGAGTCTTTGGTCCAATGCTGTTTGGGGACAACCAGACCCTTCAGTTATTAAAGTCTCCCACTCCCCCCTCATCCCACACCCAACCCCACCTCAATCGAAGAGTGACACTTCCCTCTTTCGAATGCAAGGTGCACACTGGCTCCTTTCCTGCCTCAAATGCTTAGAGTTTGACCAGGAAGGAAGACTTAGTGGTGGTGGTGGTGGTGGGGGGGGGGTGCCTGGGTTTCTTTTTTAGGGGGGTGATGTCAGGATTAGTGTAGAATTTAATAGGTGCTCTTGCTGGTTTTAGTTTTCAAAAACTTATTTTACCTCAATTAAAAAAAACAACTTGCCATTGCTTTTTCTGCACACAGGGAATGCCCTATTTTTTCTCAGTTGTCTTAATGGATCTGACTGGAGTTTGAGTAATATCATGAGAGGGGGATTTGTAGAAAAATTGGCGGAGTAAGGGAAAGCTGCCCCAGTCTTGGCCAGCTCTGGGTCTCCTGTAGGCAGGAAACTCTGGCTCTTCGTCCTCTTACAGGAAAAAGGGGAAGAAGAAGAAAGAAGCTCAGTGGGCACTCAGGGGCAGGTGGCAGCCCAGCAGACCAGAGGGATGGAGGAGGCCACTTGAAACCAAGCTGGGTGCCAGAGGTGAGCTGTTTGGGGCCGCCTAACAAGCTATGCATCTTGCTGGCGCTGAAATCACCACAGTAAAATGTATACACTACAACATAATTATCGGGGGCACAGGGTCCCTGCCATAGATTTATTGCCTTTGCAAATCAATACGGCGCTATAAAAACCGGACGGTGCCCAGCAGAGAGGTGCTGTCAAGAGGTGACTCAGAGACGTGAGCCCTGAGTGCTGAATTCGGAGGCCCTCTACCCACCCCTCCCTTATGGCAGGTTAACAGGTGAAGCCACCAAAGAGGCTGGAACAAAGCACCACCATTAACGCTTCCCTCCAGGCCCGTCTCAGGCCGAGGACAAACCAGACATGGGCGCTGCTGTGGACACCAGCAAGTGCCTTGGACTCCAGGAGACCTTGTCTTGCCTGTAGCCCCTGTGAGCCCCGAGACTTTGCTTGGGTTCCCCAAAACTCTCAAAGCCTCCGTTTCCTCACCTACATTAAAATAGGGCCAATAGCCCTAACCGGATTGGCTTAGTGGCTAGAGCGTCAGCCTGCATACTGAAGAGTCCCAGGTTCAATTCCAGTCAAGGGCATGTACCCCCAGTGGAGGTAGCTGATCGATGTTTTTAACTCTCTATCCCTCTCCCTTCCTCTGTAAAAAAAAAATCAATAAAATATATTTTAAAAAATAAAATAGGACCAACAATTTATTCCTGCCCAGAAAAACGGAGCTGCAGATTGATGAGGTAATGCGCATGAAGCGCCTACACTGAACAGTTACCCCAATTTAAGTAAAACATTAAGCACAGAATTTTATTACGTTTAATTTTTGAACTGCAATTTCACGATCAATTGC